GGTCAGCTCACTGACAGTGATAAGGAAATGTGTAGAATTTTTAACACATACTTCCTCTCAGTTTTTACACAGGAGGATACCAGCGATATTCCAGTAATGATAAATTATGTAGAACAGGACGATAATAAACTGTGCACTATTAGGGTCACAAGTGACATGGTCCTTAGGCAAATAGATAAATTAAAACCTAACAAAATCCCCAGGCCCTGATGAACTGTACGCAAGGGTTCTAAAGGAATGTAAAGAGGAGCTTAGCAAACCTTTGGCTAATCTTTTCAACATATCACTACAAACTGGCATGGTGCCAGATAAGTGGGGAAAAAGGCAAATGTGATACCTATTTTCAAAACAGGTGACAGGTCCTTAGCTTCGAACTATAGACCAATAAGCCTAACCTCCATAGTGGGAAAATTTATGGAATCAATAATTGCCGAGGCAGTTCGTAGCCACCTTGAAAAGCATAAATTAATCAACGAATCTCAGCATGGTTTTACAAAGGGGCGTTCCTGCCTTACGAATTTATTAACTTTTTTCACTAAGGTATTTGAGGAGGTAGATCATGGTAATGAATATGATATTGTGTATATGGACTTCAATAAGGCTTTTGACAGGTCCCACATCAGAGACTATTGAGGAAATTAAAGCACATGGAATAGGAGGAGAGATTTTTTCCCGGATAGAGGCATGGTTGACAAATAGGCAGCAGAGAGTTTGCATAAATGGGGAGAAATCAGAGTGGGGAAGCGTCACGAGCGGTTGTTCCACAGGGGTCAGTGTTGGGCCCCTGCTGTTCACAATCTACATAAACGACATAGATGAGGGCATAAAGAGCGACATCGGCAAGTTTGCCGTTGACACCAAAATAGGCCGTCGAATTCATTCTGACGAGGACATTGGAGCACTCCAGGAAGATTTGAATAGACTGATGCAGTGGTCGGAGAAGTGGCAGATGCAGTTTAATATAGACAAATGCAAAGTTCTTAATGTTGGACAGGACAATAACCATGCCACATATAAACTAAATAATGTAGATCTTAATATTACGGATTGCGAAAAAGATTTAGGAGTTCTGGTTAGCAGTAATCTGAAACCAAGACAACAGTGCATAAGTGTTTGCAATAAAGCTAATAGAATCCTTGGCTTCATATCAAGAAGCATAAATAATAGGAGTCCTCAGGTTGTTCTTCAACTCTATACATCCTTGGTTAGTCCTCATTTAGATTATGCTGCACAGTTTTGGTCACCGTATTACAGAATGGATATAAATTCTCTGGAAAATGTACAAAGGAGGATGACACAGTTGATCCCATGTATCAGAAACCTTCCCTATGAGGATAGACTAAGAGCCCTGAAACTGCACTCTCTAGAAAGACGTTAATTAGGGGGGATTGATTGAGGTGTATAAATGGAAGACAGGAATAAATAAAGGGGATGTAAATAGTGTGCTGAAAATATCTAGCCTAGACAGGACTCGCAGCAATGGTTTTAAGTTGGAAAAATTCAGATTCAGGAAGGATATAGGAAAGTACTGGTTTGGTAATAGAGTTGTGGATGAGTGGAACAAACTCCCAAGTACCGTTTATAGAGGCCAGAACGTTGTGTAGCTTTAAAAATAGGTTGGATTAAATACATGAGTAGAAGTGGGTGGGTGTGAGTTAGACCTGATAGCTTGTGCTACCAGGTCGGTTGCCGTGTTCCTCCCTTAAGTCAATGTGACCTGACCTGACTAGGTTGGGTGCATTGGCTTAAGCCGGTAGGAGACTTGGACCTGCCTCGCATGGGCCAGTAGGCCTTCTGCAGTGTTCCATCGTTCTTATGTTCTTATGTTCTTATAAATACATGAGTGGGTGTGTGTGGGTGTGAGTTGGACCTGACTAGCTTGTGCTGCTGGGTCTGGTGCCGTGCTCCTTCCTTGAGTGGAGGTGATCAGACTGGGTGGGTCATTGGGCTTATCCGGGGGGGACATGGACCTGCTCCGCATGAGTCAGTAGGCCTGTTGCAGTGTTCCTTCTTTCTTATGTTCATATGTTCTTATTGTTTCCCCCCTCCCACCTTTGTGTTCTCGCTCTCCCTCTGTGGGCACCTAGCTCCCTTGCAGTGTTTCCTTTCTTTCTTAGTATTTGACTGGCTCCTCCTCCTTACTTCCCCACTACCACTTCCTTCCACCTCTGCTACTACCACCACCACCACCACCACCACTGCTACTACTACTACTACTACTACTACTACTACTACTATTCCTGCCTGTATATACCCATCCTGCTTCTTTTCGTTAGGGTGACTTTTAAAGGGATCCAAGTCGGACCGAAACGTCGTCGTCTCTTCTATGTGCAGGTTATTTGTGTATGAGAGGTATCACTGTATTTTTATAAATGTTCTTTGGCCCAAAACGTGAAAAATGATTGAAAAACTGTCATACCCCAAATTTCTTCACATCATAGGTATTCTCTAAACCCATTGTAGTTGCTAGACAATAATATGGAACACTATGAACAACCCCTGCTGTCTTCTTCTTGCAATGTTTATTTTACTCGATTTGTGGTCGGGTCGTGCCAAGTTTTCGGTAATCTTAGTTTTATTAACAAAGGTTTCTTATTGCCGAGTCAAGCAGGTTATTTCCTTGGGTTGGTTCTGCTACAAACTGTTTTTTAAAAAAGTTTTGAATTACCTAAAGGAAGTCGTTTAACTTTTGACTTCGTTTTAAGAATCCCGATCAGTTTGACTGAAAAAATTTAAAATCTAGATTTTATACGTTATCGTTCCTTAAAACCCTTAAGAAAATTGCTCCTAAAACAGTCTCCTTGGTCCCTAACGAACCTTTCTGGGACATTATATCACACCTAAAATCAACAATTCATGCCCGTCCAAAATTTCCACCCGACAAAGTGCTTGTTAATTCAGTCTTCATATAGCTTTTAATTGCATTAATTCAAATAATCTGGGAAAAAACAGGGCCACGGAACCTCCCTTCCGATATTTCTATCAACGTGAAAAAAACTTAATACCCTGAAGGCGACGTTTAGCAGGCACCCTTCCCCGCTCTTTAAATTAATGTTGGTTTCACTTATTGAAAAAAATGTCAATGTAATCTACATTTGCAACTAATCTCAACTCGTCCATCATGTTTCTAGCACTATTTCTGTAAGACACACTGGGAAACCCTCTCTTCACATTCTTCTCATTGTTCATCCCTGCTACTCACTATTTTCTCCTGTTGCCTTTTTTTCCTAATGCCCCCGAATTTCCAATAATATTCAATAATCCTCCCTCATTCTTGCTTCGAATAAGTCCTCCAAACCCACATTTTTAGGAACCCAGATAGCTCACACTGTTTAATTCTATTTTACCAAATTCATTCTTTTACCACAAAAACCCTTACTTGTAACTGTATCTAGTTTAAATCCCAAACAGATCCCTCTGCTGAATTAGTCATTGCCTTCACCCTGTCCTAGATAAATGAACCTCATCCCTGGCATACATGTCATTCCTGCTTTAGAAGTGGTACCAGTTGTTAATGAATGGTACTGCTATATGTATATCCATATATTGTTTTGTTCAACCAGCAATTAACATTAGTTTCCCTAGACAACCATTCACTTCCAACTCCTCTTCTCGGTATAATGTCAAATATTACAAGGCGCCCTCTCTCCTCATTACGTTTATTGCGGTCCTATATTTGGTAACCAAATCCTCACTTCTGCACCTGCCAACATCATCGCCTCCAGCACTGAGGCAGATAACAAGGTTTATCCCATTACCATCCATAATGCGGTCAAGACGTCTAAGAGTATCTTCCATCCCAGCCCCAGGAAAACAAACCCTCTGTTTCCAACTTCAATTATTCAAGAAAAAAAGCCTTCTCTTGTGTAGATGTCGGGTTCTCCAGTAGTCGACCCATGTTCGTCAGGAAGCACAAGGAATGAGTTGAATGTTTTCACAACAGTCTCCTTGATCTTCATACTCACTATACTTCATATTGATCTTCTGTTCCGTTCTTTTCTGCCCATCTGCTGAGGATTCACAAGAGGAGGTTTACTACAAATGTTACTGTTTTCCTTGGTCAGTCACCGTATCTCTCACCTGGTTCCCTTCAGCTCTTTAAATTGTTCTTACAGCAGCTCGATAGCGGGTATTGTTCGTTCAGTTCACAAACGGCTCACAAGGTACAGGTCACCACACAACTGATACTGGTCACCACTACTCAATACAATTATTTTTTATTATTCTATCATTCCGTTGGTATGTAACAACACTGCAGAGGAAGTTAAGGCAATTTGTCATAATAATGTTCTTAATTTCAATACTATTACCGAGAACGATGTACCTTTATTACATTACTTTTTAAATTTGACAAAGGCATAAAGTTAGAAATTTGAAAAGCAAAAAGATAGTCTGAGACCTCTATAAATATTTTGTTAAGAAAATACGTATATTACGCATATGAGCAAATTTAATTGGATAGAAAATGTGGAAAATACTCGTCCAGTTATACCAGCGAATATTATCATCTAGGCAGCCAGGTGGCAGGAGCCAGTAGGTTACCTTCCTCTTCTGTGTACGCTGATATACCAGTATATATCAGAGTTTCCTCTCAACAGCGCGTGACCAGGATCTCGAACAGTCCGAAAATATATGCGTTATTTAACAATTGAATGTTGGTTTAGTAAGTACATTTATATATGTATATATGTGTATATACTATATGTATGTGTGTAACTATATATGTCTGTATGCAACTATATATGTCTGTATGCATGTATGATTGTATATATGCATTTAAGTGTAGTATTTCAAAATAAATCCCGAGACTCGAAGACGTGATCAAGTGGGCTTTTCATTAATTACAATGAATATTAAGTAGTAGTCGACCTATGAAAATTCTCCATAAAAATCAGCTGGTAGTCTAAAAGGTTACTATCAATTACTCACATTTTACTCAGTAACCTAAAAAAATGATAAAAATAAATTTGGTTTGGAGCAGAGTAGCATCCTTAACTTACTTCCTGGCTGCTTGAACGTATTCTGACTCACTGTCTTCCTGAGCGTTGATACAGCGTCCCATCGCTGTCTCTGTGGGAAAACAAAGTGTTATCAACCCACAGTAACAGAGGAAACTTTATACATCTGTCTGAAGAACACTGATCTTACCAAGATGTGAGTTTATGATCTAATATATCACCTTAGTGTTCACTATGTTGCTACAGCACTGCAGTGTTCATTATACAAATGTATCTTCACTATTATATAACCCTTTTGTTCACTATATTACTGCATCAGTACAGTACAGGGACGGAAAATCGCAGTTAGGAAACAGCCCACTGGGAAGAGATACTTCATCTCTACAGAACACGATCTTAAAACATTCCTGAGTGAGGCTGGGTTAACAGATTCAGAGCAAAGTGCAGATTATACCCGCTGTCCACGATTAGGGTTATACTGCCATAAAATTTGTATGTCACTTTTGTATTCAATGATCATTGTTCCTCTAGTCTTAAGTTGTGTTTAATATCTACAGAATCTCTCTCCTTTTTTACATCTTTCCACTTCTTTGTTCTATCCTTTTTAATTTGAAACTAACCATAGCATTGTCCTTCTCAATATTCTATCCTCCACTTTTAAGAATCACTCTGTTGCCAATTTTTTTTTAAACTCTCTATTTTTGCAAGTTTTTCTTTAAACTATATTGACCAATCTTATTGTTAAACTTTTTTATTATTGCCCATTCTTATTTTTATTCTTTTGTGGCCCACTTTATTGTAAATTTTTCATCTTATTATTGCACTATTCTAATCTAGTTTTATTCACCCTTTTTATACTTGCCCAATTTGACCTTATAGTTTTATTGCCCATTCTATTTAAAACATTTCATTTATTGCCTTTTTTTTTATTTGTAAAGTTTAATACCCATTTTATTATAAACTTTTTATAATTTTTTGGCCCTGTTCTATTTTATTAACTTTATCACCCTACTTTATTTTATACTTTTTTAACCTTTTCGGTTGCCAAATTTTTAAGCATGTATATTCAACTCCAACTTTTATATTATCCTGTCTACCATTCTTACTCCATTTTTATTTTTTATTTTATTATTCTTTTGCTACCTTAATTTGTGTATTTTATCTTGTCATTTTAAATCTAGTATCTCTTGTTCTTGTTAATCATAAACACTTTTATTAGACATTAGTGCAATTACAAGTGAGAGTCTTGTGCCGTTTTAATAGTATTTTTTTTATTATTAGATATGTACCTGTTGTATTTTAGCTCATTCTAGCTCTATACATAGACAACACCAAAATTCATTATATTAGACCTTAGTACATTTACAAGTGAGAATCTGGTGCTAGTTTTATTTGTATTTTTATATCTTTAGTGTATACTAGTTGGGCTCCTTGATTCATTCTAGACAACCAGACAACATCAACTTCATTTATGTTTATTAGTGACTATACTCTATATGACCAAAGTGCTTTAACTATACACACTTGTCCAAACTTCCCACTACTACAGATATCAGTACTAGAACTCAACACACAATTCAGGATATAAATAACCACTATTTAAACTTAAAAGGTGAATGATCACGTTGACCTTGATCTAAACCTCCATAATCTAACACCCAATCAAAACCTATTGGAAAGTAACTGCCTTTATTACACAGCATCACAAGCCAGCACTATCCTAAACAGTGCTAAAAGTCTATCAGTTCTTAACTACAACATCAGGTCCTTAAGCAAACACTATGATGACCTCCTGGCACTCCTTGAGTCGCTAAAGACACCGTTCTCCTGCATTATTCTTACTGAGACCTGGCTTAAGCAGGACACAATAGATATCTACCCACTACCAGGATACACAGCAATCCACAACGCAGACATACCAAGTTGGGGGTGGTACTGCAATCTATTACTCTAACCAACTATCTTGTATTAGCACCACTTGCTTTAGTGATGAATATAGGGAATACATTTTTGCTAATTTTACTGTAAAAAACCTTAAGACGCCAATAACAATCGGTGCCATTTACCGAATACCCCACACAAACTTCCCAAATTTCAGTGAGAAATTAAAGGCACTAATAACAAACAGACAAATGAACAAGCACCACCTTCTCTTAGCTGGAGACTTCAATTATTTAACCTTGGCCTACCAGATGCTCAGCCTGTGACTGATTTCATCAACAATATGAACAACACACTTTCTCATACCGACAATAACTAATCAACCAGGCTGACTGAGACAAGAGCAACCATAATAGACCACATATGAACCAATATACTAGCCCCCCTTAAATCAGGAGATAAATCACAGACAGCACTACGGACCACTACCCTACGTTCCTCCTAACAAACATTAGTAAAACCGCCAATGGAATACATCAAGTTTCATTTAGACTCAATGACGAGGCCTCAATAAGGAATTTCACAGCAGATCTAGAGATTGTTGACTGGCCTACAGAATTCTCCAAGGCCAATAGTATTGACGATTGAACAGATATTTTTCTTAACAAATTACTTAGACAATACAACATTGTCGTTTAAAAAACGAAACATCACGAATAAACGGCTCGGTTGCCCATGGCTAACCAGCAGCATTCTGAATCCATGATAAGAAACACCAATATGAAAAGCAATATAGACAGGGCTTAATACACAAAGATATTCTTAAACACTATTCATCAGTTCTCACCAAAGTAATAAAGAAAGCCAAACAACTGTACTACTCCAGTAGATTCACTGACACAAGAGGAAATATACAGAAGACCTGGAAAAACACTTTTACAGATTCTGGGGACCCACAGACTGAAAAAAACAAGAACATTGTCCTAACTAAACCTAACGAAACACCACTACATCTCACTGATACAGCTAACAAGATAAACGACTTCTTCTCAACCATAGGATCTAATCTCGCCAGTAAAATCCCACGTACCAACGCCCATACCGGGGACTACCTAAATGGGAATTTCCCAGATTCCTTCTATCTTGTACCAACTGAGCCCACGGAAGTCATCGCGATTATAAAGTCACTTAAAAATAACTCAGGGAATCTGTCTCACGTCCCACCATTATTGTACAAGCGAGCAGCCCATGTCCTGTCGCATGCTATTACATTACTTTTTAGCAAGTCACTGGAAACTAGCACCTTCCCGACACTACTCAAGACAGCAAGGGTTACACCAATACATAAACATGTAAACAACTATAGGCCAATATCAAACTTACCATTGTATCCAAAATTTTCGAGAAACTCGTTCACAGGAGACTATATTCATTTATAACGGCTCAAAACATACTCAACCCCTGCCAATTTGGATTCAGGAAAAATAAAAGCACTAATGATGCAATAGTAAAAATGCTAGACCTGCTTTACACAGCATTGGAAAATAAGGAATATCCGCTAGGAATTTTTATTGACCTAAGAAAAGCTTTTGACACCACGGCATCCTACTCCACAAATTTGACCTTTATGGTATAAGAGGCCATGCGCTTGCATATTTCAAATCATACTTTACTAATAGGTATCAGTATGTCACCATTAAAGACACAGCCTCATCAACACGGCCATTTGATAATGGAGTTCTGCAGGGAAGTGTCCTGGGTCCCTTTTTCTTCCTCATTTACTTCAATGATCTTCCAAACATATCCCAACACCTGAAACCCATTCTCTTTGCTGACGACACGACTTATGTCATCCTCCCACCCTAATCTTGCCACCCCAACACCATTGTTAACGAGGAGCTGCTCAAAATATCGACTTGGATGACAGCCAATAAACTTACACTTAACACTGATAAAACCTACTACATTATGTTTGGTAGTAGAGCAGGTATTGCGCAACTTAACATTAAGATCGACAACACTCTAATTGCCAGACATAATGAGGGCAAATTCCTAAGCCTATATCTCGACAACAACCTGAATTTCAGCACCCATATCCAACACACAACAAAAAAGTATCCAAAACGGTGGGGATCCTCTCCAAGATAAGATACTACGTGCCACAAACTGCCCTTCTCACATTATACTATTCACTCATTTATCCATACCTTACATATGCTATCTGTGCTTGGGGATCAACTGCAGCAACACACCTAAAGCCAATAATAACCCAACAAAAAGCTGCAGTAAGAATAATCACTAAATCCCATCCCTGGCAACCCCTCCCCCCCCCACTCTTCATAGATCTAAACTTACTCCCTGTTCAGAACATCCACACTTACTACTGTGTAATCTACATCTACAGGACCTTAAATTCAAATATTAACCTTGACCTAAAACGCTTTCTTGATAGTTGTGGACAGGACCCACAAGCATAACACCAGACACAAACCTCTATGAATTCTCCGTTGTCCGACAAACCTTTACAAAAATTCAATATATGTCAAAGGACCTAAAATCTGGGAACACCCTATCTGAAACTCTAGAACTGCAGACACATTCATCACTTTCAAAACTACCCTTAGAAAACATCTTATCTCGCTGATACACCCCGTCAACTAACTACATGAAAACCACCTGGTGGTTCACACTTACCCTCACCCACTAAATAAAAACACAGAAATACGGATTTTAAAAATTTTAAAATAATAAATCCTACCTAGTCACAATTTTGGGCCTTTGTAAACCTCCAATATAGAAATTATCATTGTGCCAAAACAAAAACTTCACATTGCAAAACCAAAAACCCTATAATATTTTTAAGGATTTTAAAAATTAATCTAAGCGCCCGAAATGCTTAGCCATGCTAGGGTCCTAGGGGCCCCCCTCTGAAATTTGGGTTTTTTAAATTAAAAAGTAAACCACAAGATATCCAAAACCCTGCAAACCCGAAAATGAAATCCTTAAGAGAATAAATTTAAATTGGTACTATTTGCATCATACAGTTTTTCAAATCAAACAATGCTTTCACTACAGGTTCACTCAAATTTTATTTGGCATAACAACAGTGTTCACCCCAAACTACTGCATCACAAAAGGGTTTTTCACTCTACAAATGCATCACTAAGTTTTCACTCTACTACTGCATCATACAGTTTCATTTCCCTACAAACTGAAATCACTCCCTTTTCA